AGTCCATACTAATTATGGAAAACACTCCGGAAATGTTGTAGGCCCGTGTGCTCAGATTTGGGGGCACGTTAAAGAACCCCAGGTGGTGGAAATTTCCGGAGCCCTACACTACGGCGTCTCTCATAATCATATGGTGGTTTTGGGACGTTAAACCCCACATATCGATCAATCAAAACACTCCGGTTGTTTCACGTCGTTATCGTCTTGGAACAGTATTTCTCTTAGCGTTAAGCTGTCTTCGTCATTGGCTCTTTTTAAAAACACATTATTCACATTTCTTCTGGATACCCTAAAATTCTCTAAGATGTGTAATATTATCTACACTTGTTCATATTCAGTATATTCTTAATTGTCCCATATAGCTGCTCATTTTTTTTCTTGCTTTGATCGTTCATTTAGCCGATATTTATTTATTGATTGATTGATTTGTGGGGTTTAACGTCCCAAAACCACTATATGATTATGAGAGACGCCGTAGTGGAGGGCTCCGGAAATTTAGACCACCTGGGGTTCTTTAACGTGCACCCAAATCTGAGTACACGGGCCTACAACATTTAGCCGATATATCTTTTTTTCTGGATGGGGGGGGGGGGGGGGGGGGTCTCTATTTTTCTAAATGTTCTAAGTAGTGTTTTTGTTTTACTTATAATTGTTGAAAATTGGCTATCTTTAGTCTGTAGTACATTTATTTGCATATAACTCATTCCACGCTGCTGACAGAGTTGCATTTTTCTTATACATATTTAACACATTTTCTGACAGGACCTTCAGCCAAGTGCTCTGGGACCTCCTTGTGTATGTTTATGTAAGCATGTATGTTTTATATGAAAGTAAATAAACTGAAACTGAAAAAAAGGGAAAGTACCAATGCAGCGAAGCCAATCCGGAGACCTCGCCTTATACGCGACGTGCCTCATAACATCGCGATTTTGGCACGTCAAAGCCCTGGAAGTAACAAAGTTCAGTTTCTAGTGAGAAAGTACTTATAAGAAAGCATTATTCAGTTTGTCGATTCTACAACGACTTCGTTGTGAATAAAGCGTGCATTGTTGACGGAAATTATCTTGTTTTTCGCTCTTCTGCTTCTCAGATCACGAAGTCCGCATGCTTCCCAACGTCAACTGTTATACAAGAAAACTGTGCCACACTTGCAAGCTGTACAGGCTACTAGACGAAATAGATTGCTGGAGCGGTGTACAATATTAATATCGTCTATTGGAGTTAGCCAGTTTGAATATTGGCTCAAATAATACGCGTGCATCTGGTGGGTGTATAGGTCGGAAAGCCAAGTGCAATATGGGACATTTATTTCGAAATTACATTCACAAGCAAGGCGGGAATTCAGCTTTATCCAACATTTCGCGTTCCGCAAACTTTTGCTGTTGATAGTACAAGCTTGCCACAATTTAAATTACTTTCTAACATCAAATTATTTTAAAAACAAACGAGCGTATCGCTGTGCCTTTTAAAAACAAGTGTGCTACAAAAACAAACTGCAGCCTACTCTAAGCAAGCACAACTCCCTCTTTGTGCGTGTGAGAGAAAGAAGGGGAGAAACAATACGCTTGTGCGTCTCGTGTAAACAAGGTAATTAAGCACATCTCACTTATCCTCGTTAAGAAAAAACAACAACAACAAAAAAACGGCACAGCTCCAACGAAAAGGCGGCCACGGGTTTGCACTGGGGCGTGTTACAAGGTGCGTCACTCTTCCTCGGAGCGTGCATCATCGTCTGTCAGCGCCGTTTCACTCATGCGCCGAGTATACTCGCGAGGTCGCGAAAACAAAAAACCCACGCACGCCTCTGACAGACACGTTATGGAAAACATGATTACGCACAGCCGGCACACACGCATATCTTACGAGTGCACGCTGGCTCAGAAGGCGGCGGATTTACGAAATAGTAAACGCGAGTTGTTACGCACACAGCGACAGCGCGTCATAACGACAGCAGTAAAAGGACACGAATCGTCATCACTGCGAATGGTTCCGTCAATTTTTCTCTTTTTTTTTCATACGTACTGCACATACATGTTCGTTAAAAAGCGACCGCATATTCAAGTGTGAGTAATTCTGTTTTTGTTCTGAAAGTTGTTTCGAGGTGCGGGTACACGATCGGAAGCTTCGCATGCAGCGCGTGCTAACAAAATGTAAATGCATTTCGGAAATTTGCTATAATGTTGCTCTCAGGAGAAGCGGCAACAAAAGGATTGATTGATATGTGGGGTTTAACGTCCCAAAACCATCGTATATGATTATGACAGACGCCGTAGTGGAGGGCTCCGGAAATTTCGACCACGTGGGGTTCTTTGACAGGCACCCAGATCTGAGCACACTGGCCTATACATTTCCGCCTCCATCCGAAATGCAGCCGCCGCAGCCGGGATTCGATCCCGCGCCCTGCGGGTCAGCAGCCGAGTACCTTAGCCACTAGACCACCGCGGCGGGGCGGCAACAAAGGGAATGAAAGCCTGCTACGCCGCCAGCAACCACTCGGACGTCTATCCTCTCGTGATTTTTCTAATCGACTTCATTTCTAAGAGATAACCTTGCGGTTGTCCCGTAAACAGCAGCGAGCCCAGTATCGCAAATTTGCGTATATACAAGTTCAGCGTATACGCTGAACTTGTATGCGCACTTAAGCTTGTCTTGCAAGATTGGGCTTAAGGAAAGTATGAATAGTGTGGGCAACCCTCCGACTGTATAATCTGAGCGTTGAACGCGTTGCCCATCGTGAGCATGCATGTAGTTTTCGTAGTGATGAAATACACAGTAGGGTTGCAAACAACACACGTGGTGTATACATGCGCATATGTGCACGCGCAAGCACTGATGTTTAGGAGCACGAACGACGCGACTAATATTATAGGTGAGCAATGCGCTGCTCGAATGCGGGATTGCAACCTTAGCCAAGCACGCCGGCCCCAGACAGACACAAATAGCACACAACATTGTTGACGGTTTACCTTGTGTCCTTATATTCAGCTGCTGCTCGTGACTTGTTCGCATCTACCGATTAATTCATGCACCCTTTGATGATGGCGGCCGGCATGCCTACACCATACCACAATACGCTGCAAATCTATAATACAATTTTGTGACGCAGCGTATGAGGCCAAACTCACGAGACCATAGACGCAGGAGAGCCACCAGACTACATAATATCAATTGACCGGGGTTGGAGAGGCGATACATAGACGCATCAGTTCGGCGGGAAGACAATGACTAGTCGATCGACCCAAACGATGCACACTTTGATTAGAACGATAACAAATGTATTCAACGCATATATTTTATGAATACGTAAGAACACTGCACTCGGTGAGAGCGTTTCGGTGAAGCAAACACAACGACAAAAAAAGCTTTTATACGGAAACGTCGTATAGGTTAAGACACGTCGCGCACACCGAGGGACGCGGCTTCGCAGAACGTGAACTCTCTTGGTTCGATGTAAAAGGAACGCTCACATAGCTCTGATATTCATTTGAGAAGCAAGATAATTCCAAGGAAAATTCTAAATTTTGCGGATGTTTGCCTCTGTATCAATCGAAAGGGCGCCGAAACAAACAAACAAAAAGGTGTAAGAGAAAACGCAACGAAACAAAAGAAAGGAAAGGGATGCACAGCTACTTTCCTCAGACGAATGAAATAAACATCAAGAACGTGACTGAGATTCCGCTAATAGCTTCCGCCGGAAGACGGCGAATTCACGCCGCATGAGCTCGCTTACGTCTCACGTGTAAGGACGTTGTCTGATTGAGCAACAACAAAGACACACAAACAAAAAAGGTCAAATTTGCAAGTATCTGCTAAACCAAAGAGGGGGACATATACGAGGCAGAACGCAAGGTGTTTTCACACAGCAGCGGCAACCGGGCGCGCAAGTAAAGCAGCATCTCCAAGCTCCTCTCGCAATCTCCCGACCCGTCCTTTCCGCTCTGGCGGCGGCTACTCGATGGGGCCGGGACGAGTCCGGTGTGGTTATGGCTCGAGAAAGCAACCTTCGGAAGAGACTGCAGGTAAGAGCGAAGGAAACATGGTGGCTATTTTGGGCGCGCTCGGCGACCCCGTTGGCCTCAGCCCGGTCCCAAGAGTGTGTGTGTGTTTGTTGGGCGGTCCTTCGCACGGGCGAGCAGGTCAGAAGAGCGAGGCGGCAGCCTAATTGCGGGCGGATCAGCGAGAGCCGCTTAAAACACTTTTCCCGCTACTCAGGGGCGTCCGGAAGACCGCAATTAATGTGCGATTCCCGTAATCACTATAATTAATACCTGCTCCCACCCAGCGGCAGCGCCTAAGGAAGGGGTAAATTTAATTGCTATATTTCCGCGAGGTTGCGAGGAACAAGGCGATGACAGAGCCGCTCCAATGAGAGAGCGGTGGCACGCGTCCGGTGTGGCGTGAGGGAAGCGCCGACAGACACCGTTCTGGGGCCGAGGCCACGAAGGCAACAGGAGAGGGCCGCACGGCACGCGACGCTCTACAAGCGCCAAGTGTAGAACACGCGCGGCAACAAGTGGTGTTACGAACGCTTTGCCTCGCTGCAAACAATGGACACACACAGTGCAATCGCGCGCAACATTCAAATTCAAGTACACTTCCATGGCGCTGCACTTCACGTCTGTGAAAACTCGTTCGTATACGTTCGAGCCCTCTAGAGGGGACGATGGAAAGGGCAGATTAATCGCTGAATATATGCCATCTCAGAACAGGACGGGAGCATCGCTACATGGATCACTGCGACCGTGCGAAAGTCGCGGAAATGCGCGCCAAGCACAGGCAAGAGTTGGCGATGTAAAGGAGCAAGCAACAGGTAGACGAGACAGTGGACCACACACGGCGTATCCGTGCACACACCAGCATCCCCGCTGCGCACACTTGCCGGCGCAGAGACACACAGGGAGCGCAACACATGGGCGCGCGCTGACATGCCTGGCTACAGCACGAGATGGCCAGCAGCCAGGGGCATGTCTGCGTCGTCGTGCGAGGTACTTGCGACTCACCTGGCGGTGCTGGTGCAGCGCAGGCTGGCGGCCCTCATGGCAGCAGCAGCCCTCTGGGAGACAATGGCACACTGCCGCCGCAGCTTCGCGAGCGACTGGCGCGTCGGTCGCCGGGCCTCTTCCCGTCAGGCTCGTTCTCGGAAGGATCCGGCGCTCCCTTTCCGTCCGGCCGCTGCTTCCATTGGCGGCGCCCCGGGGGCTGCCCGCACGGCCGCCTGCGGGCGGGGCCTGTTGGCGCGCCGCTGCTGCCGCCGCCGCAGCACCCCGGGCCACTTGCCCTGCGCGTTCAACACACCAGCGTCCACGAAGATCAAGCGTCTCGCCACCGTGACTCCTGCGTTGTAGGACTGCGCGGTTCGAGCCTGTCGCGTCTCAGAGCTGCCGCGTAGGTGAGGAATTAGCTGCGAAGCCGCGTTCACTGTCTTCACTTAGTAATATGCTGTACTCAATGTGCACAACAGAAGGAAAACATATTACTATCCATAGTCCGAGTCCACGCTGTCCAAGTGCGGCTTGTGCCCCATGCGTTTATTGTCCTTGTCGAGGAGATTCCTTTATGTGCTCCATGGGACATAAGTGCCAGTGACCAGAAGGCCTACATAACGCAACAGTGTCGAGAGGAAAGATATTTGGGAACTGGATCTCTCCCTGTCTAGCGTAGCATTCCTGACCAAAACATTTACCATTATTTACTTTTAGGTTAAAGCTTATGGAGACAAACATGCCAGTCAACGAATGACGTGTCCACAAAGAGCTACACTTAGCGTACGGTGCCAAATTACGCGTCATTCGTACATATTGCGGTGAAAAATTTAGTCATCTTAAGATACCGAAGTGTTGCTAAAAGCGACTTGAGTTTGTTCTTCCTTTGCATATCAATGCTAAAATGGCGTTGGCTTGATTATGTTATGTTGTTTGAAGACATCTTTACGTACTTCATGTGGTGTATATCTGGTTTTTGAAATGTACATAACTTAGCAGCAAGGCGTCCGTTATACTGCGAACTGTCCTCCGCCAGTGCCACTACCAGCTATAATCGCTGGGGACCACGGACACCACAAAGCAGTGCTTGCAATCATATATGCGTAATGCTGACCTGACAGCATACATATACCCACCTATCATTATGCCCTAAGTAGCAATAAATATAGTGTTGTGAAGGTTATAGTGTTATTTACAATGTTCTCACGCATATTGCAGCAGTATCTACATTTGACTATGCTGTGTAAACTATCGCTTGCGTGGACATTCTAACATTAGAATTAAAACAGATAGCAATTTGGCAATATGCATTGTACCAAATATGGCTGCACCCCAAAGGGCCACCTGACGCGCATCGTGCGCTGGTACCGAGATAACCGCGCCCATGGAATATGGGAAGCTATCGCCATCCATGTTGCAGGTCACCAATGTATCATCTCCCCATCTACCACACTAACAGACAAAGATATTAACTCTGTACTTTCCGATGGAGGCGGACATATTGTAGGCCCATGTTCTCAGATTTGGGCGCATGTTAAAGAACCCCAGGTGGTCGAAATTTCCGGAGCCCTCCACTACGGTGTCTCTCATAATCATATGGTGGTTTTGGGACGTTAAACTTCACATATCAATCAATCAATTCTCGACCTTGCTGTGTCGCTCTGTTTTCTACTATGAATAAAAATATATACAACACCTTATGCTTTGTTGTCGTTGGCCATGCATGTCTGATATTTCCGTTTCTCTTCACAGGTTCTGATTACATATTTGTATAAACCAACATTTACATATCGCACTAGCAATGACACTTGCACGGACGTACTAATTGCCTTTTTGTCTTGCGGTTAATCCTGTATTACATATAAGCTACACCTATACCTATCTATAGAGGTCTTCATCGATCATGCTTTTCGTTGGCATTCCCTTTATAACGAAGTGTTTACAAATAGTCACCCAGCCTGTTAGATCTCGTCAGGATTTATTACACTTACTATGGTCTATCATTTTTGTCCGCATCATATTTTCTTTCTTCATTCAAGTATTTATTTTGATATTTCATTACTTTTATCTGTGCTTACGGCGGCTCTATGGACGTACTTCCAGTTGAATTTCTTCTTCTTCTTTCGCATTCACAACTTAACAAATGTTGACACATTGTCCATCATACACGAAGATGTGGTTGCATCAAGCTAATCTGACCAGACTTCGACGGTATTTGTTATTCGAACAAAAGTTTGCGGTAGATACTCTGAATCTACTCTGAACAATATGTGAGTGCCGATAAATGTATGCGAACATGCAGATGCCTACTCCCGAGATAGAGACCACATTTCAAGAGGCTGCGCTTCTGCTGCTTCTCTGGAAGCACCTGAACGACTACAAAGCATTGACAAGTGCCCATCGGCAATGGATAAACTTTATCAATTCAGCCTCCCGTATTGCGGCAGCACGAAAGATGGGTTTTATTTGCTTTGTTGAGTACAAACACAAAATAATAATAATAATAATAATAATAATAATAATAATAATAATAATAATAATAATAATAATAATAATAATAATAATAATAATAATAATAATAATAATAATAATAACAATAACAATAATAATAACAATAATAATAATAATAATAATAATAATAATAATAATAATAATATGTGGGTTTTATGGCCTGTGAAATGTCGTTTTGATGTCAAAATTATTGTGATAATCTGTTCGAGCACAGTTATTGGGAAGCTGTAGATCGCGGAAGCAGACAGGTAGTTCGTCTTTCGGAAAAAGCGATGCTCGATATACTTAGAAGTGTGGCAGCTTGGGCTAGTTGGTATGGCATTACGATAGTTATAGCGCGAGAACAAAACGACGACGTTGCATGCCCCCATGCATGCTGGGTAGTTCTTGTTTTGGTATGCGCGTGCTTATGGAATTGTGTTAGTGCGAACTGCGTTTTATTTATATATAGTACATACACATGAGATGTGTTCTTTAATCGGTGTGCCGTACGGAATATTGATCGAGAGTTTGGTACTATTTATATAAGTACATATTCTGCAGTATATGTTGTTGTCAAATGAGCCAGTGCCGCACCGACTTATCCCCTTCTTTGCTTTTTTTTATTCATTGAAAGTAGGAGAGAGTGACTCACGTGCACATAAAAGGATACACGCAAAGGAAAGCTGCCCTCAAGAGAACTACTGCTAGTCTTAAACTAACGCGTTTCACTTCAGACATCAATATTTCTGAAACTCCTGGCTTGTTTGCATATATATCGGTCAGTAACTTTCACGTGTTTGATGTAGAGAATAATATCGGTATGTGTTATATACAGGTTTGATAATAATAATAATTTATGAGTGTTAACGTTCTAAAACTATGATATGATTATGACAGAATCAGGGCTCCGGAAAATTTGACCACCCGGGGTTGACGTACACGCGTGCCTCAAGCGTTTCCGCCCACATCTAAAATGCGGCTGCCATGGCCGGGATTCGATCCCGCGACCTGTGAGTCAGTATATAGTCCTGCACCGTGATCCCTATATATACCACTGTGGAGGATTATATTTAGGTTCGAGTGTACGACTATATATGCTTCCACAGTGCCATTTTTCTTGTTGACATATTTTCTATCGCCTTTACTTTTAATGCGTCTTCGTGCTTATATAGTTTTTCTCCTCGATGTATAGGTTTTTAGAACTCTCGCTCACAAGGAACTCACCCACCACAATATTATTTGGTTCACTGCTCACCTTGGCTTGAAGGTCGGGGGCCTTCCCTATGTCAATGAGCTAGCCTACTCTAATGCGCGAGGCTTCACTTATACCGCGCCGGGACTTGTGCTTCTCAGACATAGTAATCGGCCCCCAACCTTCGTTTTAGGGACATTTTGACTACCTTCAACGAAATCACGAAGCACTATCAATTAGGCCGTAGGTCCTTTCCATTGCCACACGAAAAGTTGTCTAGGCCACAGGCAATATCTCTTCGCATGCTTCAGACGGGAACATACCATAGCCCCGTAACTTATAGCCATTACTCCGATATTTCGGAACTTTGTCCGGACTGCCACAATCACAGTGATTTTAACCCCATGCTCTGAATGGGTCCCTCTTTACAAGACAAATGAAGAATTTTCCGAAAATTTCTTTCATTTAACGCTCACGAGTCCGGACCTCATACAACAACTCAAGGCTGTCCAGAAGGCCCACGATGCGGCGGTGTCCCAACGTGGGAGCGGCCCGCGATCCTACCCCTATAAAACGGGGTGGAATCCTTCAGGCCCCCAATAAAAGTTTTTCATCCATTCATTTGCATACATTGCAGCCCTATTTAGGGTTCTAACTGGAGTGGGAAGTGTTATATAATGCTAGTAAGGTAGCAAACAAAAATGCACGAAAATGAAAGTACTTGTGGTAAGAAGTGGACACAGACAAAGATTAAGAAATCTTGTAATCTACATGTGCTAAGATGCTGACCAATGACAACTAATATTATTGTAGTGGCAATGAGTGAGTGTGTTACCGGGAAGAGAATTCAATAAGCTCTATTATAAATGCAGAGAAAGAACTACTAATTCATTGCATTAGTAAGAAAGTGATAGCAAGATGAAAAAAGCACGACTTGCACGAATACTCAGAAAAAAAAAAAGAAAACACAGAGCGGAGCCCTTTCTTTTTGAATCGTCCTGCAAGTTGCGTGTGTTTCATCACGAACCTTTACCAACATGCACAATTGTTAATTACTCGCAATTGCTGTATGTTCAAGGTTTGAGAGCTGCGAGTGCCACAACGTTCATTAAAAAGTATGATTAGGTAACCGTCACTAAAGCTGGAGGAGGAGTTAACAATTTTATGAAAATGTTTTAAAGCTTCGATCTAACTTTGCGAGGATATACTGGTTTAATACTCAGTGATTATCAAACTAGGGTCGGTGAGAAACTGCGATATATTCTCCTACACATTTGTGCTCATGCATCCTCGGGGTCTTATCTCCTTGCATGTGTCTGTATGTGATTGGTATTAACGCCTCCTAGGAGGTGTTACCAGTATGTAAGTGGTAGCGTTGTAAGACACCATAATAACTGATTTCGCCATATTTAAATTGAAAAGTTATTATTTAACTTAACTGTTTTATATACTGAAATGAATTGTCCTCTAATTAAAATAGCGCAATC